AAGACAATAAAATAAACAAAGTGAAGCACAACAAACATTTTAACTTTAAATCATGAATTACACAGAACTGACCTTTAGGAACTTGTGTTGTCTACATAATATTGCCAGTGATTTATGCACTTATAATTAGAGGTAGGGTCGCTGAAACAAGAAATGCTTTGTTTGTACAAGGTGTCGTTACCAACAGCTCCCTCTGGTGGGATGTTTGTGCACAGCATGACTGAATTCGCATGTTTGTAAAGCACATTTACACCCCAACCAGAATTTTTTGGGTTGTTTCTAGACGTTATGAATGAAATAGGTTTTTTTATATAATATTGGATATTATCACAGAGGCCAAAGCATCAGTTTGTCAGCAAAGCTTTGAAAGGTTGGTCAGGATATTTTTAAAAACTCAAACACACCATCAGACAAACTTTGTCTTACACTGAGTGACGTGACAGCGCACTCAGTGACAGACTTGTATATTAAGGCATAATATACCACATTCACAGCAAACCTCACATTATTTCATGGATCTCACCGGCCTAATACCACCCTTGTGACCGGTGCAGTGCACCACATAGTGGAGTTTTAGAACAGGGATTTTAACTTTTTTTTTTTTTTTTTAAGTCAATTACCCAAAACTGAAAATCTACTGCGCAATTTAGTGTACACTGCACAGTGCACTGTATTATATGCAGACCTGAGAAATGAACAAGCAACGCATTAGGACATGAAATGTACAGTTTTACCCTTTTTATATTGACTTTGGTTTAACAACAAATTAAGGTCTAGAATTTTACATGATCATTACAATCGATTAAATGACTTTAAATAAGGCAACATTGATTACAAGGTACCACAATGCAATTCATTATGAATTAACGTTTGTGTGGCACCACCCAAATGAAATATTTAAGGTTAAAAATCTAGTTTTCTATTGTGAAAACTAGGTTGCAGTCCCTGTTCAAGCTCAAACTTATATCAAGTTTAGGCATGCATACAAACCCCTGCTGTGCATTTTAAAATGTCAAATAAAGCATCTGGTCTGGGAAGGAAAGAAAAGACAACAGCATTTGCAAACTCAAATCCCATGAGGTATATACTAGAGTGTTCACACAGACAACACATCCTGAAATTGCTAATATGCCATTTTAGTGCAATGGCCAAAGTAAGGCAATTCTTCCAACAGAAGTCTAGTTATGAAATGTAACTGATCATTGGTGCATGTGAGGGACTCAATTCAGTGTTCATCATCCAAAAACAAACTAATTCTTGCTGTAACAGTGCATGTGGTTATTTTGACCATGTGAAATTGAATATCAGAAAAAAAAAACATGAGACAAAAAGCATGACAGTTAAAATCCTGTGCATGTGGTAAAGCATCCACACCCTCTTTTCCATTCCACAAAGTCTGGCCAAAGCTACGCTCACATTACAGGCATGTGTTACAGCTGATGTTTTTGTGTCAGTGGTTCCCATTCATGTTTGTAACAGACATGCATCCGACTCCAGAGACATGTCACAAAACTGCCGTGCACGTGCAGATTTAACTGCAATGTGAGCCACATGCATAAAAACATAATTTGTGTCTAGGTCAAGCCACGCAATTCTCTCAAACACCGCTTAGTTACGACATGTTACTTAGAGTTAGGCTTGATCAGGAGCTTCTCCATCAAAACACTCATTTCCACTGTTCCCAGTTGCTGCTCTCCTCCATGTTTATTTTGACCAGTCTGCGAGGTACCGACACTGAATGATGATCTGACTGCTCTGACAGCAGTTGCATAGTCAGTGATTAGATACTGTATGAATCAGGTCTAGGTCCACATATAGAAGTGGCCCAGATCTGATATGAAGAGGGAAAAAAAAAAAAAATCCAATTGGGTCTGTGTAACATACTTATGAAGCATCCTTACAAGCAACTCCTCAGTGTAACATTCATTCTTGTGGTATGCAGTGCTTATACTGTAACAGAGAGATCCCTAACATGGCATTCATCAAGTTGTTTAAAACCTCAAGAATTCATTCTTTGTTAAACATTTTAAATGACTCACTGCCATCTGTGCTCAGTATGAGGATGAAATGAAGAGCTCCAAGTGAGATCAATGAGTATGTCCTGGCTGTCCACATGGCGTACGCATGCTAACCCCGCAGCATTATTTGACGTCTTGTTTCTATTTCAGTCATGTATGCCTCGCTCAGCGCAGTCTAAAACTCACAGTACAATACATTGATTCCTCTCTGGTTTCGACTTTCTCTTCCTGTGCCAGCTATCGCATAGACAAGTTCAACACTGCCGGATTGTTTCTGACCTCTGTAACCTCACATGTAACCAAAGACCTAATAATGACAGGCTGATCACCAATATGTGCCGTGTGCTGGCCGGGCCAATATAATCCACATTCCTGAAGACCATGCAAGTCCCCTGTACAACACAACAGCTTACAATAAGGCAATAAATCAGTTAGACTAAGCAATGTTCAGAGAGCGGAGTTACTATATGTTTTAAACTGTTTACCATGAAGATACATTAGAAAAAATATTTACTTCTCAAGTTTTTAATCTCCAAAATATAGTCGAGTTTCTGAAAAAGACACTTCAGAGGTCAGGTGTTGGCTGTGAGGGGGTGAAGTTTCTCTCATTCTAAGCTCTGTGTGTGTGGAAGGGTAACAGTTTAAAGTCCAGCATCACAAGAACAGACTAAATGCATTCTATTATTACTAAAGAAGAAGCACTGCGGTTTAAATAACAGTTCTTGGCCCACTCAGGTTGCTGGATGTATAAAAAAAAAAAAATCCCCTCCACATTCACACTACACAACAAAAGGTGAAGGAAGTAATATTTATGGTTTTCCTATTTTTTGTAGTTAATAATAAATCTTAATGAAGCATGTCTTTCAGACTCTCGCTCTGCAGCTTTAACCACCACCTTTAAAATTTACCACCTGATGGACCTGTTGTCCCTGCAGCTTTAAGCTTCCTCAGGCGCTGTGGGCCTCTTCAGGTCTCGGATCTGCTTAATCAGATAGTTCTTCTCATCACAGAACTGCTCATCCTCAGACCTGTCTGTCTGGAAGTGGCTCAGGAAGTCCACGAGTTTGGCCTGGTTCTTCAGCAGTATGTCCAGTACTGGCTGAGTCTTGTTGGGGTTTGCAACAAAAACCTGTGAAAGAAAAGAGAGAGAGAGAGAGAGAGAGAGAGAGAGATGATGTGAATGACAATTTGAAAGGTTTCATCCTACATGAGTCCTTTCAAGATTTTACTAATTTAAGTTAGCTAGTTATAGCCATCTTGAGCAAAAAAGGTCACTACTATGTATAGAGAATGTGAAATTGATGCCACACCATTCTGAATTTTGGGTAAAAGTGCCATGCTTGGAGCATCACGCTCATTTCCGATCATAGATACACACACACACACACACACATACTGTACATACACATACTACATTGTAGTGCCTATAAAAATGATTCACCCCCTTGGATGTTTTACCCTTTTATTGATTTTATAAATCAATCAGGGTCAATATAAATTGGCCTTTTTTTTTTTCTTTTTTTTTTTTTTTTTTTTTTTTTTTACAAAAAAAAATATTTAAAAATGACAAAAAAAACTTTAATGTGAAAGTGAAAACAGTCCATTTGTGTTATCTTCCAACAGATGCTAGCTAGTGTTAGCTGCCGAACACAGAGATCAGATCAGCATGCAGTCATTTTTCTGTCTGTCACTCTGGTAGACGTGATCTCTAGGTCCGCTACGAATTAGCTACAGTCAGCTAAGGTTATACATTCTGAATTACCACAGTCAGTAAAACAAGTTCTAAATGATTTAACTTTTTAGCCAAACAAAACAAGAATGTACGCAGGTAAATACAGCGTACATCTCCAAAAATGGTGCCCCTGTTCCAACATTCAGCAGGGTGTGACGTACCTTCACATTCCCTATCCAACTTGAACTTTTAAAAATTGAAATGTAGCACTCATGATGCATGTTTTATGTGCACACCTTGAAGACATGGAATGCTTCAAATTGAATGTTTCGACTGTTGTCTCTCAGCATGTTCATCATCAGCTTCAAGTTTTCTGCTCGACTGATGTACTTTGTCATGACAGTGAAGTTGTGTCTGTCCAGGAGAAGTTCTCCAAGGAGCTGAAAAACAATACATGATTAAGGAAATCCATGCACAGTCCAATAAAGCAGGAGAACACGTTGGTTACACTTGAATGTGTAGCTCAGACCAAAACGTAACACTGAGTCTGATTTGACAGAGCTGTGGGGAACTTGTACCTTCAAAGACTGCCGTTTGGTGACATAGTTGTCAGAATGCAGAAGCTTCTCATATTCTGTAAACACCTGAGAGACATTTTAAATGAATGTTAGGCTCAGCATGTGCATTCTTTCAATTAAAGATCAAAGTCCACAGCTTGAAAACTCACCCTGTCATAATTGTTCTCCAGGAAATCAGCACACATAATCTTGTGTCTTGTGAGGAGATCCTGAGAGAAAACAGAAGGGCCCAGCTAAGAACTGTTGGTATGAAGATGCTCCAATTAGGGGAAAAAAATGGCAGCATACCTTGAATGAGGCAAAAGCATCTGAGGCAATGTCGAAGGTTGAGAGCTCCACGTAATTGAAGAAGCAGAACAACTCTTCAGAGAAGAGCACAGTCCGTGCCAAAGGCTCATGACGCAGGCATTCTCTCAGCATCATTCCACAGTTCAAAGCAACTTCTGGGCTTTCATATCTGTACAGGTCAGTACATGTGAGGTCCAGGTCATTCGTATGCATTGTCAAACATACACTGGAGATTATGGCCACCAACGACTATATTTCTATCCCTAAGTCTACCAACTAGTTTACCGATTAGTTGATTAAGCTAAAAAATATGCATGTCCCAGCAGCCAAAATGCACAAACAATAGATTGCATAAAAGAAAGCACAAAACAGAGTACACACATACACAGGCACTGTCAGTCAATGTAGAATAAGCCTTAACATTTTCTCATACCATTATTTAATAGAAATTCTAAGGTAGCAGGACATTATGACCATAATGTTTAGCAGCTACGAGAACAAAAGATATTAAAAAGCTCTCCTAATAATTGAATTGTGAAGGCCTCAGTCCTGGCCTTCACCTTGTGAGGACCTAAAACCACCACCAGCCATTGACTTGGCTAAAAGATTGGACTGAGGAAGCAGCAGGTTTAAATACCTCCCACTAGGCCTGGACTGCACCAAGTGCCCAATACAAGAAAGGGGGGAGTTTGGGAGAAATTTATTGTTTATTTGTTGGTAGTTTATGTTAGAACTTTATTTGTCAGGTTATGTTAATTTCTTTATATTTAAAGGAAATATTTAGTTGAGAGCAGACTGTCTGTTTAGGGTTTATTAGTTGATTATTTTGGTAGTGTCTTTAGTTTATCCCTTGTGTGTGTTATTGGTTTGGCCAGCCAGTATATATGTTCCCCTGTGTGTGTCATTTGCTAGGTCAGTTGGTTTTGTTGAGGTATTACAGTTTAGTTTGCTGTATTTTGAGTTTCCTTATCTTTTGTTGACCTCTTTTAGGGCCCAATCTATCTGGTGTTCATTTTGTATTTTTCTTACTTTTGGGTTAATAAAAAGCCCTTTATTTTGAACTTTGGAAGCTGTGTCTTTTGCCTTACTGCTTGGTCCCTGACATGAATAAACATGAACAGTCGACACGTTCAGTGGTTTTGCCTTTTCTAGCAGTTATCTAGCATTATCCAGATTAGCACCTGTGTGGTTTCTCTTCAGGTGCTTCTGCATAGCACTACTGCTGCTGTGGTATGCTAACAAAACTTTGCAAAGTGTACAACCACCTTTTGGTTCTCTGATCATTTTAAGTACTCCAAAAAATTTGAAACCTTGTGTCTTTGGAAACTTTTACACTGAACCTCTTTTCCCAATGAGTCTGACTCTGCTGCAGCTGCCATGATTTTCTAAAACTATAGCAATGACTGGAACCAAAAACAACTGATGAAGGCACGCAGCAGTTTCATCGCAACATTCTTCTTCTCCTGTGGATTTTAGTGGTAGCTGGCAAACAGCTACATAGTGATTGTGAAGAAAAACATTATTTAATTAACTGACTGAAGCATTTTAGAAGACAAAGTTAATTTAAAAAAAGATGTGTCCATTTAAAATACTGATGTTGGCACACTTTCAACGTAGCTGGTTATGTTGACTAATCACAGCAGCCCTAGTGGAGATGTAACAAGTGAAAATAGTTGACATTTAGTACGGAAAATGCACCCCAACATTATTAACACGGTTAATTTGATATTACATCTGTTTTTGTTCAGATGAACTTTATATTCAATGTCAGGTTTTGATGCCCATTAAAGGCAAACTGAAAGTTCCTCTTTATAGATGTAACATTTTGGAATAAATTTTAAAACACAAAACAGAAGAAATCCATCATAGCAGTGGCACCTGGCAAAGAAAGCATTTTATCCACCAACAGAAGCCAAAATAACCCCTAATGCAGTACAGCAGCTCTTTGAAGTAAGCAAGATGACTCAGTTATTAGAGCTGTAAATCCAGCACTCAACATGTGTAACCCTCATGTGAGCACAACAAGTTCATGCTCATTCCTCTGGGAGTTGTTGAAACACATATTGTACTGGATAATGTACAAAATCACAAGGAATGTTGTGGGAAAGTGGTTTCACCAAAAAAGGTTTTAAACAGTAACTTAAACAACAGTAAAATTACTTTCAGCATTTAATGATGACATTTACTACTTTAATAGCTTGCAAGTGAATAAACACAGTGTTCATATCTAATATCAAACTAACAAATACGAAGTTCCTGTAGCCTGAAAAGACTACCTTACCCTTTCAGAAGCATGAAGAGGATCTGTGGGTGTGTAGAGATGTACTCTACAGTGGGTGTGCGAGTGCCAATCTGACGTCTCACAATATTGCTGAACAAATGAACCACATCCTTCTTCCCCTGAGAAATAAATAAATAAACGATAAAGATACATGGCTGACTGTTTGTTGATGATATGTAAATACATCCTTGCTTTGGGCAAAGATGATCAGATCAGGTGTACACACACCCAGTCCATTTTGATTATCTGCACAAAGTAATCAATACATGTTCCACACACTTTTTTACATGTAGTGGAAGGAGCAGAAAGTGCTTTTACACATTAAGTCAGTATAGAAAGAGGTATATTTTACCAACCTCAAAATCAATCCTCTGCAAGTTTGCAATGAGAACAATGAGAAGATTGGTGTTATACAGCTCTTGTGCAAGCTGAGCCACTGCTTCAGTCTGAGGCTCCTTGTCACCAGTTCCAGAAAGTATCTCTTTCAGTGAGGCCAAATTTTTGGACACCTCCTCTGCGACCTTAATTGTGGAAAACAGTTGATGACTTAGAGTATGTGTTCATGTCAGGAGTGAGAGCCAACTGTCGAATATAAATCATTAAAAAGAAAAGCCACTGCTGACCTTTTCACACTTTTTGCTGTCTCCAGCATCCAGCTTTTCCAGGTGTGCCACATTCTCCTTTAAACTCTTCACTATTTCAGCTGGACTCTTCTGGGACTTCCCGAAAGGAAAAGGCATGACTGAAGACTGGTAGTTCAAATCTCTGATGAAATAAAACAGGGCTTCAAAAATCTATCACGTGTAATTAAAGCAATTCAACTTCCTGTACCTCTTTGCATCAGGAAATGGCTGAAAAGGCTTCCACCTGAGGAAAGCAAGGCTACAGCTAGCCTACGTATACTGTGACTGAAAACCTAGACTCGAATGGATACTATTGTGTTAGGTTAAGGTTTTAAAGACACAATACGCGCAGCTAGCTAACATTTTAACATTACTGCCATGAACTCGCTTTCAAAGATAGTGCGGGTACATTAGCTCAATAATTTTTCTCATTCACTGGACTATTAGTTTGTCCAGATTAACATTAGCTAAGCCTATTAAAATGTCAGGCTTCTTGAGGAAACAAAGATACCACGAAAAATGAGAAGTTTGAAATGTCAACGCTAAGTTACCACAGTATTCAACAGCAATGTAGAGCTAGCTTGTGACCTAGTTAGCTGCAGGTTAGCGAGAGACAAGTAAGCTAGCGGCTGCACGGCGAGAGTGAGCACCATGGAAAACAGAACACTGCTCAAATATTCAATTCATCCAGACATGACTCACCAAGTGAACTCTAGTTTTGAAGCTGAAAGAAGCTGTGGCTAGATGTTAGCTAGCAAGCTAACCAGTTGTCTCCACTTTCTTGTTACACTCTAACGCTACTTTGAAAGGTCTGTAACGTTATCTGAGATCTATAGTCGTAGCTATTTAACGTGTACTAGCTGTAGCTACAATCTGCTCCAACGGATGAGTTTCATAGCTGTGATATTCGTATAAATCTTCCTACTCGTGTCCGCCTATCGCTTAATTGCTAGCAACCTAGCTGTGCAGACAGAGATACTGATCTGGCTTTCTGACAGCTTAATTTCCTTGTTCTGTTCTGCTAAACCTCCCATCCTCTCTCTCCTCATCCCGGAGACACTGGGCGGGTATGTTTTGCTTTACAAAGTGATTGCCACTAATACTAACCAATCACCTTTACCACAGCGGCGCTGTGGCGCCTCCTTTGGTGCGCTTGTTTCAAGACTCGTATCTTTCGGGTGGGTGGACAGATTAAATATTACACGGGAAGCCTCTTCCACCGGACTGTCCTGTATATATAATCAAGTGCACCTAAATTCTCGAGAAAAAATGAGACATAATTTCAGTTCATAAATACTAAGACTAGTAATCAGTCTTCCATCCCCATGTGTATGGAATGACAATAAACAGCCGTATAATGGAAAGTGTGAGATTTCTTCACCCCAAGTCAGAAGTATATGCTAATTCTTATTATAGGCCCAATACTAATAACATTATAAAAACGTTTCTTTAGATGTGGTGGCACTTATCTAATCAACAGTTACAACGTAATTTGCAAACAGACAATGGCAGACGATGCAACAAAACTAAATCAAATAGCAAAAGTAAAGCAAAAATGACAAAATAGGCCTACTTGTGTCCCTGTGCAAGGGTCTTCTTTGTGGACTTCAGCTCGGCATTTTCATTCAACACCATCATCCCGGACATCCTCCACTCCAAACTGACCCAGCTCACTGTGCCTGCCCCCACCTGTCAGTGGATTACTAGCTTTCCCACAGACAGGAAGCAGCAGGTGCGGCTGGTGAAAACCACTTCCAGCACCCGGACAATCAGCGGCCCCCCAGGGATGTGTGCTCTCCCCTCTGCTATTTTCTCTCTACACCAACGACTGCATCTCGAAGGACCCCTCTGTCAAGCTCCTAAAGTTTGCTGATGATACAACGGTCATCGGTCTCATCTGAGACGGTGACAAGTCAGCCTACACACGGGAGGTTGAGCAGCTGTTCCTGTGGTGTAGCCGCAACAACCTGGAGCTGAACACGCTCAAAACAATGGAGAATGACAGTGGACTTCAGGAAGAACCCCCCACCCTACCCCCACTCACCATACTTGGCAGCACTGTATCAGCAGTAGAGGCCTACAAGTTCCTGGGTTCCACTGTCTCCCAGGACCTGAAGTGCTTGTCCAACATCAGCACCATCATCAAGAAGGTACAGCAGAGGATGTACTTCCTGCGCCAGCCCAGGAAGTTTGACCTGCCCCAGGAGCTGCTGGTACACTTCTACAGTTCTACATTGAGTTTGTTCTCTGCACCTCTATCACTGTCTGGTTTGGCTCAGCAACCAAACAGGACAGGAACAGACTCCAGCAGACAGTCAGAACTGCAGAAAAGATCATTGGTGCTAGCCTGCTCTCCATGGCGGACCTGTACACCTCACATGTTCAAATGAGGGCAGAGAAGACTCCCTGGACACAATCAGTTTGAATGCCTCCCCTCTGGACAGCACTACAGGTCACTGTGTGTCAAGACAACCAGGCGCAAGGACAGGACAGTTTCTTCCTCCGAATCGAGTCGTCACTCTGATTAACACTTAACCTATATATGTGTGTGTGTGTGTGTGTGTGTGTACAGGTCTCTATTTATAAGTACTTTATCTTTATTTGTATTTTTATCTCGCTTCCTAATGCACATTCCTTTGTTTTTTGCACATTACTTTTTCCTTTCTGTTCTCTCAGTCTTATATTGTTTATTTGCCCTTTGCTATTGTTGTACATAAGGATATGTACATACCTATTGAGAGCCGCTGTACCAGAGTCAAATTCCTCGTGTGTCCAACACACCTGGCCAATAAAGCTGATAATATGAGTTTTGGTTGAGTCTGAGCACACAGTGCGCCTGCATTCATCCAGTTACTTCTGTCAGCAGTGAAGTCATAGATGTAGTCATTATCATTTTCATAAAGGCTGATTTTTGTTTCACCTGCCTATAAATTTGTTACATGACTCTGCTGGTTTTATTTTTGTGTATTTCTGAAGTTTACCAGGGATTTGCATCTTGCTTATAATCCTCTATAATCAGTCTGGTAATGAAGTTTTTTCTTGATAATTGACAAGGAAACATCTACATCCTGGAAAGCATTCTTGACTTCCTGTGCAGTCATAAAGGGGGTTTTCTACAAAGTCATTTGCTATTTTGTAGTTTTCCTGTGCACACCAGTTTTTTTAAGAGTATACCAAGTGTACACAGATATCCCTCTGATAGATTTAGCTTTTGTGAGCTTCATTCTTCACTTGCATGCTCACCTCTTCATACTGGCAGACAACTCCACCTTGGTCTAAATGACACCTCTCAACTCTGAGCCATGTGTGAGCTCTTAAATAACATTTAAACAACACAAAAAACATTTAGTAAAGAGTTATCTTACACGCATTTCTTTCTATATCAGTATTAACCTATAAAGTTAAAGAAACTTGACAAATGTGTTGAAGCAAAGAGCCTAATGAAAAAAAGTGTGACTGTCCAAATACTTATTGGACTTGGAAGTGTGATTTAAACTGTCAAATCTAGCACAACTTACAGTATGGTGTTCACATGTAGCAACTATTGCACAATATTGATGGGACTTAAGCAGTAGTCAGACCATGCCTAAGCTGCTCTGCCTAAAGCGCTAACTACTGATCAACTCATTTACTACATTTCTCGAGGATAACAATGTCCTTCACTCACAGAGGTTGGGCCTTATAGCCTACTAGCTAATGTAACTGCTGCCACTGCCACTGTGGATGACACTGCTGACTCATTTAATTACATACAACATTGTTCTACATTCTCAGATTTGTCAAAATTTTTGATACCACTGTTCATCACATTTTGTTCAATAAGCTGCTTTCCATGAGTTTTATTAATTCTGTTTACACCTGGTTCAGATCAAATCTTTGTAGTAGAGTTTAAACATTTTTAATGATGTCTGTACATTTAATATTTTATACAAAACTTATTTTCCAACACAGAACAGCAGTGTCTTGTTTTATGCAGTCACCTGTGAAGTCTGGCCCCAAGCACAGCATGTGGTTACTTGGTCTAAGTTACGAACAGATTACACAGTAAATAATTTGGAAGCTTTTTTTAAAGGAAATATTTAAGTTATTTTTTATAAAATAGAAAACCAAATGTATTTCAGTGAAGCAAATTTGTAACATTTGTAACATTTTTTTTAACATTTGTGACTGATATTCCAGCCTTGTTCAAGTCTTCATTTTTGCATATGCTTTTTATTTTTATTTTTTTTATATTTCATGACAAAGAACTTACATAAATGCTTCTCAATGTTGTCACAAAATGACCTGTAAATAGCTGCAGCACTTTCTATTTTAATTAAAATAGGGTCATTACACAAGTGTTTGTCCAGCCTATTTTGAATCGGCCCGAAACATGGCCCGTCGCGGCTCATATGTATTTTTTGGGATATGGGAACTCATTTGCTTGAAGTATTTTTGTGAAGCACTTCCCACATATTCTGACCTGCTTTATCTTTCCACGGTAGAAACATTGCAACATAGCTAACTATACTTTTATTTTGAAAGACACGCCCGGAAGTCCCGTTATCTTGGCCGCAGTAGCTAGCTTGATGCTAGTGTGAAAACCAGACGATCGCTTCTGAAGGACGGAAAGAAACACGGCGGTTGTCCGGAACACTTTTTCATCTTTTCTACCGCCTCAGTGCGATAAGATTGTATTAACAGGTAAGCCGTGAACTGTGTATCAGTGACTGGATGATACACGATGTAATATATGGCCTGTTGCCGTTTCAGGCCATATTGCTGGCGTACAAGCCGAGCTGCTCTCTTTTCACAGGGATACATCACGTATGGCGCTCTTTACTTCGAAACGGTTTGCAAAGACCCGCGCCTCTCATGATAATTTCCCACATTTAAAGGGAAATATTCACACTTTTTCGGGTTACAACAGAAATACAGTGTCGAAGTGTCATATTTCCCTACTGTTGACCTTTATTTTCCTACATGAAAAGGCCTTACGAGAGATTTCGGGGCGTTGAGATGTTCATAGTGAAAATTGTTTTTCAGTTATAGCTAGTTTGGTGGAGAAAGAGACACACACCCCCTTTAATTCAAAACTTTGCAGGGGAGATTTGAGGCACTTTTTAGGAATCACTTTTTATTGTCACAAATCGACCACAAAATGGCACTGTAGCACGGGATTGTGAAACGAGAGCGTTTCA